TAACCAGAAAATGTGTACCAGAAGAAAAGACCGTGGAGGGAAAATTGGCTACACGTCTAAACAGGAGTCATTGTTTTTAAGATTTTATTCTTATAATTATCTTTACCCTAAGTAATATCAGATGATATACTGTTGTTGTGGCAAGGCTCAAGAATTAATATATGATAAGAAAGTTATACTTCTTTAAATGATCCAAAACAGTAGTGGGTAGATGATAGGGGTCAACGTGTTTTCCGTCATTGCATGTGTCCAGGCAAAGCCATGAAAAAATTGCTAGAATTACTAATTTCCTGCATAAATGAGATAGGATTTCCTTCCAGTCTAGAGTAAGCGACTTATCAGCACCTGTTTATCTCGTGTGTGTGTGTGTGTGTGTGTGTGTGTGTGTGTGTGTGTGTGTATTTTGTGGCTCGAATCTAACCTGAATACTAATCTCTCACAACAGTACTTTGATCTGGAATGTGTTTCAACAGCATTGTTAAACACGAATGTGACTCAGAATCAGAACAAATGGGAGGTCATCAGCTACAGCATTCCTCTACAGGGTGTCCCCTTCATAGGCTTCATAGTGGGGATGCTGAGCAGCCCTTGGGTATAACATTTGAAATCTGTTTTTAATGTATCCTCTTGAAAATAGTAATCTCAGTATATGTTCCTCCTTATGAGAAAATGCTGTGGGATATGCTCTTGTACACTGTAAAGATTTGTCACTCATTGGTTTAATAAAATGCTGATTGGCCAGTAGCCAGGCAGGAAGTATGGGGGGGGGGCAACCAGACTAGGAGAAATCTGGGAAGAGAAAAAGCAGAGATACAGTTGCCAACAGAGGAAGCAAGATGAGAATGCCTTACTGAGAAAAGGTACCAAGTCATGTGGCTAAACATAGATAAAAATTATAGGTTAAGTTGAAAGAGCTAATTAGTAAATCTGAGCAATAGGCCAAACAGTTTATAATTAACATAAGCTTCTGTGTGTTTATTTGGGACTGAATGGCTGCAGGACCAGGCAGGACAGAGAATTCCATCTAAAAGAAGATGAGTTTAGGACATCTGTGAATAACCCAGTCCATGCAGTTGTTCAGCAAATGTACACCCATGCTCCCAAAGGATATTCCTCCACTCCCTGTTAGTGACTGGTGGAAGATGTTCTCTGTGTCTGATGACTGTTTGAAATACTTTTGCTAAATATTCCAAATAATAAGCTTATTACATAGCTATACAACTTTTTCTTGAAACAACAAAATCAACTTATAATTTAATCCTACAATGTTAAAACAGTTGTAGCTCAACTCCTTCATTTGAAGAGAAATAGTGTTGACTGCATCAGATGTATTACTGCTAGAGCTGGGGCCAGAGTCCCATGGTTCCTAACTTCCCATTCCACAGCAGGTTCTCCCTTTTCTACATAAGTTAAGTGTCTCCCATAAATGGTCAATGAATGTGAAAAGTGATAAGAATTTAGGAACTCTACCACTACTTAGTTAGAACATTTCATAAAACTTAAAATCTTAATATCTACGCAAGGATGAGCGAAAGGCTTATGAAGTCCCGCCCTAGCTGAAGAGCTCTGGCCAATTGATGACTGTCAGGTAAGGGAGCTTTCCAGTTGGCTTCCAGACTGCATTGGCTGTACACACAGAGCAGCATTAGGTGAACTCAGTGCTATTAAAAAGAGTACATGAAGGTGGGAGGGAGGGGTTGGGGGTATGGGAGAAGTTGGAGGGAGGGATGGGTTTCATATAATATGCATATATAAAATTCTCTTTGATTTTGAAATTAATACATTTTTTACTTTGTAAAATGATTACATTTTTTGCTTTTGGCATTTTTCTTATCTGTGCTTTATGTAAACACAAGCCTTGTACAAACAAATTTGAACTTTTAAAAATAAACTACTTTTAAAGTATTTGCTATTTCAATGAAATGCAAAGTCTTATGGAGCTTCTTGGTTAATTTTAAACTAATATGTTCTAAGTATCTAGATGTAGTAGTGTTCTCAGTAATAGTATGTTTAGTAAAATAGGTAGCATTTATGGCTGGAAATTTAGAGTCTAAGAAGATAAGCATTGAAGAGTCATAGATCATGACAGTTTATTTCTTGGCCATAGCAAGCTAGAAATTATTTAGTAAACCTGAAAACATCTTTTTAATTGCTCTGTATTTGTATTTTAAGTGTATGGGTGTTTGCATGCATGTCTGTGCAGTACAATCAGACAGTGGCTGCAGAGACCAGAGAAGGACACTGGATCCCCTGGAACTCGAGTTACAGACAGTTGTGAGCTTCTGTTGTGTGCTGGGAACCAAACCCTGGTCCTCTGGAAGAGCAGCCGGTGCTCTTAACCACTGAACCGTTTCTCTGGTCGCCTGCAAACCTTTATTTTAAAAATGTATTATTTTAATAATCTGTCTGTGCAGGTCTGTTTATAAGCATGTGAGAGCTGGTACCTGCAGAGGACAGAGGAGTCCGATCCCCTGGAGTTGGAGGTGATTGGGCAGTGATTGGGTGCTGGGAATAGAACTCAAGTCCCTGCTCTTAACTACGGAGTCATCTCTCCAGCTCCCAAACTAAAGATTTTAAGATTAAATAAAAGATGACTCAGTTTTCTAGTTATGTCTGAATCAAGAAAATAAGATTTCTATAAGCTTTCCTTTATTGGATCACTGTTCTCGTATCTAATTATGGTTAGTTGCTAAGTTTTAAAACTTATCCAGTACGTGAATTTTAATGAGAACAGTGATAAATCATGACTTTTTTCATCCGTGAAGTTTAGCTATACAAGGTTTGTTATAGAAAGACCACAGTGTGCTGATTCTGGACATAACAAACGTTTCCCAGCATGCTCCATTCCTGTGATATTCAAGTCCTCCTTGCATGCACACCAGATTGGATCTTGTGATTTGAACATAAGCCACAGAACTTTTTGTAGACTGTTGATCCCAAAACAAACTGATCATAGCAAAGCTTTAAAGTTCGTCTTTTGGAACGTCTTGCTTTTCTTCTAAATGAAAGTTCATTGCAACTTGCCCTGGCTACCGTTGAGAGCTGTGGAGACAACAGTATTCTATGAGCAAGTCTGGTTCTGAACATGGTACCTTTCAGAGTCTGTTCATAGGAGGGACCAGCCCCTTTTCTGATGCCCCTCACTTTCCCTGGGAGCAGAAAGATACAGATTTACCCTTCTGAGGTTCCTGAGGGTCTTGCTGCCCTTCTGACTTGAAGTCAGTGATGACCTGTTTTCTGAAACAAGTCTCTCCGGCCTTTCTTGGGAATGCTACAAGGCTGCCCTACCACGAGTAAAAGAAACAACCACGTATTTCCAGCATCCTTCAGGATAGAAGAGTTAATTTAATTTGCGAAGTCTTTCGATATGTATCTTTACTTAAGACAGAAGACAAGCCAACTTAGAAATAGGAAAGAAGAGAAACTAAATGTTTGATTAACACAAAGGCAGAGAGAAACAGCTTCTTCCATCACCTTGAGAATAATAACCATAAAGAAACTAAACGAACATTTCTGTCAAGACAGAACTTCCTGACCTGGTTTCCTGGGTCTTACACAGTCGTGAGGGAGAGGTTTTATTCACAACACTTGAGCTATAGAGGTATTGAAATGTGTTCATTAAGCCCTGTCCAGGGCTTTCTGAACCATGTATGACTTATTTTGCCTTGAGATTCAGTCCCTCAGACTAAGTGGTCTTGTTACCTGTTCATTCATCCCCATCTCCGATCCTTCTTGAAATAGGGATAGGAACCAGTCGTAGGAAAACACTCAGCGAAGATTTGCGATTTACGGTTAAGACACTTCAACTATTGAGCTCACTTATTTGTTTGTTTTTTCAACTTTTTATTAATTGTTTTTATTTTACATACTAACCACAGGGTCCCCCCCACTTCCCATCTACCTTCCTTTCTTTTCCATCCCCCCCCCCCCCTTGCATCTCCTTCTCAGTTTCCTTTCCAGAAAGGGCAGGCCTCCCATTGGAGTCAACAAAGCAAGGTACCTCAAGTTGAGACAGGACCAAGCTCCTCCGCCTGTATCAAGGCCCCCTAGTTCATTATAGTTCTCTATAGGCAATGTGTCTCTAACAAATATCTTTACACCAACAGAAAAAAAAAATCCCAGGCAGAAACATAAGATAAAATGGTCTGGCCCAGGTCTGGCGATAGAAGTTATCGCGTCATATCTTTGTAGCTTCTAAAGTTTTCCAAATCCAGCAGCCTTTTTAATTCATTGAGGAAAACAGATATTAAAGGTCTCTCTTCCCATTGTCTGGAAATACATGTCGCCATAGCCTGTCAGAACCCTATCGGAAGATACTCAGACAGAACCAGCAGCTAAGAATTTGATGTCTGGGAAAGTGGGCTTAATATTTCCATGTTTCTGCATTTGGTATTCACCAGAAACATGAGCTCATTCATCTGGGACTTGGCAAACCAAGACGAAGAGATTTATGTATTTTTTTATTTATTCTTCCAAACGTAGCTTGAAATGGTTCTCAAGTTTGATTTTATGATAAAAAACACATTTTAGATAAAAAGTAGTTTTAACTTACAAAGTAAAGTTAGAATAGAGGCTGGGTGGATATGGAAGCAGCAAAGACGAAGTAAGTAGCAGAACTCTAGAAACTGGACCAGTTCTAAAGTACGTGCAAGCCGCGGTCGCCTTGCACAGTGCTCTAGAAAAAAGCTCACCTGCAAATCCCTGCGCGGGCTAACAGTGGCAAGATTCCTAAAGAGGCCAACAGACTCTGCTCCCTACATCTGAAAAGCCAGGGGAAGAGGCATCAAGTCCCAGGTTGCAGGTCTCTGCTACCTGTTTGCGTCTGACCCCTAGGGGTCCTTCCCGCTGCCTGAGACCTAGTTTCCCAGCGAAGTCTACAGAGGTTTGAGCGTCCGATCCAGCCCGCCTGAGTTGTCTTGCAAACTCCGCCTGACAGGCCCGGCGATAGCGTGGCATCCTCAGGGACCCCCAGCTCCCGCCGCTCGCCCGTGGGCATCGCCTTGCCTCCGCGCCGGTGTCCTCTGTCCCTCGCTGCCACCTAAGCTCGCTTTCCCGGTGCGCCTGCCTCCTAGCAGCTCTCTGCGGCTGCACAACCCGGGTTCCCGCCTTGCATGCTCTCGCCACCCTACCCCCACTTTAAAAAAAATTTTTTTTTTCTTTCTTCTTTTAACTTTTCTCCCCGGCTGCGCTCTGTTGATGCTAAGTGTTCGCCGCGGCCCTCTCTGCCATCTCTCCAGGTTGCATCTGGCGAGGATCTCCGAGAGCAGCTCGCGGCGGCCCGGGGGTGCTCGCCCACGGGAGAGCTGCGGGGCGCGGCGCGGGGCGGGGCGGGGCGGCGGCGCCCAGGGCGGGGAGGAGCAGCCTCCCGCACGGCGGAGCCGGGGCTCGGCAGCCCAGCCGCTCCCTGCGTCGGGGCGGCGGGCGAGCGGCCGAGGCGATGGCAGGCGAGGGGCGAGCGCCTGGGAACGGGCGCGGGACGCGGAGCGCGCGGGGGCGGGGGCCGGCTCGGGGAGCCCCGGGGTGCCGGACGATCTAAGGCGGCCGTGGCACCCGGGAGCCGGGCCGCGGGCAGCGCCGCCGCCGGGGGCGTCGCCGGCCTCGGCCCCTTTGTTCTCGCGCGCGCCCCCTCGCCGCCCACTCCCCTGCTGTCGCGCGGCGGCGGCGGCGGCGGTGGCGGCGGCGGCTCCTCCCGCCCGAGGCAGTTGAGCTCCGCGCCGGGGGCGGGAGGGGGCGGGGAGCGCGCCAGCCGTGGAGAGTGGGGGGCGATGGCGAAGCTCAGGGTGGCTTACGAGTACACGGAAGCCGAAGACAAGAGCATCCGGCTCGGCTTGTTCCTCATCATCTCCGGCGTCGTGTCGCTCTTCATCTTCGGCTTCTGCTGGCTCAGTCCCGCCTTGCAGGATCTGCAAGCCACGGCGGCCAACTGCACGGTGCTGTCGGTGCAGCAGATCGGCGAGCTGTTCGAGTGCACCTTCACCTGTGGCACCGACTGCAGGGGCACCTCGCAGTACCCCTGCGTCCAGGTATACGTGAACAACTCCGAGTCCAACTCCAGGGCGCTGCTACACAGCGACCAGCACCAGCTCCTGACCAACCCCAAGGTAAGGACGCGGGAGCTCCCGCCTAACGATGCAGGTTCGAGGCCAGCATTGGGGAAAGACCCCAGGGGAAGATCCGGAGTGTACTGTCCTTGCTAGAAGAACATAGGAGACTCTAGGTGCGTGCACACATCTGTGGAGCTGCAGGGCTCCAGTCCTCGGGGTGTGTTTGCCCTCGGGGCGATGGTATCCAGAGTCTCTCTACAAACACTAGCTGTTCTTAGGTTTTTGAGCTCCCTCCAAGGCCAGGTGCAGCACCCGCTGGACAGGTTTACCTAAACTCGAGGGGTAAAGAAAGTTAACTTTTTCTCTAACATAGCCACGGGTTAGAGGGGACCCAGCTACTCCAGTGTAAGGTCAACCGGCGCCTGAGCTTCATCTGGCCTCAAGAACTCCCAATGACGTGACCTTTGAGAGCTTGAAGGGAGGGGTCTCTTCGCTCCTGGAATATTCTTTGCCGTTTGCCTTTGAGTTCTAAACAGAGGTTTTTAACATGAGGTCTAAAGATGGGCTATTTGGCGGAGGGGAAGGTAGAGGAGGGGGATCAACAGGAATCCAGTGAGAAATTCTGATTAGGTCCGGTTTGTTTGGTGGGGGTGGGTCCCAACCACTTCCAAGTGGAGATGACCAGGAGCAGTTGGAGAACAGTAAAACTTACTGAAAATAGAAAGCTTCTCGGTGAAATATACCAAGCACAGCCCTTTCCTGACAACTTCTTTTGTTGTCACAAGCAAAAAAAAAAAAAAAAAAAGAGGAAAAAAATAGATAAAACCTGGTTAGGACTTGTGAGCTTCTGGAGAGCAGAGAGGGAGACTCAGAAAAGTTCCCAGGGGGAAAAAAAGCACTTATAAAAAGCACTGCCCTCAGCCCGTGAACTAATTGAGCTTTGCAGCGCGTCTGCTTCTGCAGGAGGGTTCTTTGATGCCTTCGGTCTTTTCTGCCACCAACTAAAGGTGTGTCTGTTTATTTAAGTTGCTGGCTCTTTTTACTTTGTGAGGGCTATGCTTGAAGACCGAGCAGGAAACCATTCCAAAGGGAAGGAATCCTGTACACACAGGAGCGCGTTCTGTTGAACGTGACAAAATAAATTAATCTGAATTAGGGTTTTAAACGAGCTCACCGTAGCTGTGCAGAGAAACTCCAGAGTAACTCATTAATTTGGAAAGTCAGAAGTAATTACTCTTAAAAAATATGATTGACTCCTCATTGGAAGTCTCCTGGTAATGTATGAAGATTCGTTTGCTTTTTTTAAAAAAAAAAGATCATAATACAGGCACACAGTAAATATAGAAGTAGACATTTCTAACACAGAATCAAATGTCCAAGCCCTTGAACAAGTGGTAGGGTCTCAAAGACAGATGTGAGTTAATCTGCTTAGTGCTTAGTAATCGAAAAAGAACTCTCTTGGATTTGGAAGGTTTTTAAAAAATCAGAATTAAATAAAAAGACATCTAAGAAAGGTGTTAAGTAGTTGTTTACTGATCTGGAAGATACCCTAGTTTGTCATGCAGGAGTGGGCATAGTTGTTGAAACACTGCTAAATTATTCTTGAGATAGTGCTTTAATCAATAAGGAGTTATACATGGGCATATATATGCTAGTAGATGGTTAATAACTAATTTGGGCATAGACAAATTAGAATTGACCACAAAAAACAAGTCCACAATTTCCAGGCAGGATCTGGCAACAGAAATGAATTGGAATCATTAGGACATTGATTCTTAAATCACTTGGAAGCAACCACGAAGTTTTATGTACTACTAAAGTTCTCTGTTGTCTCTCCACTTGTAAATAATCTCATTTTCCCCCTCAGTGCCAGTTAAGAACTTGGCAGTAGTTGCTTTGAAGAGGTACCAAACAAAATCTTAAGCTAGACTGTCCACAAAATGGTCAGAACTGGGAAAAATGACAATACGTTATGGTCCAGAAAGTGATGAATGACCTCTCCATCAATTTAGGCAAGGTTTCCTCTGCCAGGTATGCACCGTTGTCCAAATTATGATGTATTGTAGTATTTATAGAACAAACATCACTTTTTTGTCAATTAAGTGTTCAATTTGGAAATTTCTGTAAGCATTGGGTAATGGAAAAATTCAGTGTACCCAAAATATCATGGTAGAGTCAGGTGCATAATAAGAGTTAGTTTCTATGGTGTCCTTGCGAGTAGATAGTCCTCGTTGCCTGGTCCCATTGGCTACACAGAGCTTTATCCTACCTACCTTACTTTTAGTTTTCCAATCTATTCCTTTCATGCCTCACCGACTTCTCACGTTCTCTCCAAATCCAGCCATCACAGGAAACTCTTAGGAAATCCCTTCTCAGATAATAGAGCAACCTCTTTTTCCTGGAGTTTCCTAACAGCACAGCAAAGGACGGGGAGGGGACAGATGTTACAAATACATACCTTGTTGAGCTGTGGACCTCTGGGGAGAATGCTGCCCTTCCGTTAACTGTTTCTTTAAAGTATCCCTAAGTCCTGACCCATTTATTTGTATTTTCATCCTTATTTTGCGAGGGAATCGCTGTGTCTAGTCACGTAGTGTTCAAGTCAGCTAAGGATTTGATTAGGGATGTGACCCGTTGTCTGGATTAACCATAGCATGGTCTTGTGTTTCGGAGTTAGCTGCTTCTTGCTGCTGCTCCCAACATTGCGCTGGCTCTTGGTGACTCACAGGTGTGCGCCACGCTCTCTGGTCCTCAACAATGGCTGCCCCGTGGGACTGACTGCTTGGGAACTTGAAAAATAAATTCTTGTGCTTAGGTTCGGTTTTCTGGCACTTTGATTTGATCTTGTATGGGGCCAGAGTATTGTAGTTTTCAAAGTTGTGCAAGTAATTCTACTATTACCCAAGCAAGAGATGAAAACCAGTGTCTTGGGAAATACATTCATCTGCTCAGCAAGCAAAGCACTGTGATTAATGTTCGTGTTTTCAAGATAAAAAGATGTGGATGCCACTGAATAGAGAAAGTGGCATTAAACCAGACTAGAGAAATGCAGAAGCGAAGGAAGGGAATCATTTAAAATTAGGGTGCAAAGCTCATTTTAAATTGATTAGTTTAAGTGAAATCAAGTGTGAAAGTTGCAAACTGTGTTGGTTTTGCAGTTACCTGCTTTGGATGGCAAAGGAAAGATGAATTTGGGACCGCCTCTGCTGTGTGGTATTGAGAAGGGGGTGGTTAGAGACCGACTCTCCTGTTTTTGTTTTGTAGGTCCCGCTTCCTTTGATAATAACAAAAAAAAAAAAAAAAAAAAAAAAAAAAAAAAAAAAAAAACCTCAAAGCAAAGACAAAGTTTGTTTTTAAGAAACCAATATTTTGAAATTAAAGAGGGTAGAAAACCTCAACAGGGATGGAGACAGGATTTGTCTTGAAGAGTATCAAGGAAGGTAGAAGAGAGATCAAGGCATGATGGCTGCTTGTCACCTTAGCAAAGGACCTTCAGACCCACGCTCATGTGCCCTGTTCCCACACATGGAGGGACACCACCGTGACACTTAGGGAAATCCCTGAGCTTTGACCTGTATGTTCAGATTGATGTACTCCAAGGGGAAATCCATTAGACCAGAGCTGCATAAGACAAGAGAAGTGGAATTAGCGCCAACATCTCTACAGCCGTATTTTGTTTACCATCTAGCAGATAAAGCTTGCCTGAAGATCAGAGTGCAAAGCTAGCCACACTAGTCAGCCATCCAGGCCAGGCAGTGGTGGCACACACCTTTAGGCCCAGCAGCCACACTAGTTAGCCAGAGAGGCCTGGTAGTGGTGGTGCACCCCTTGAATCCCAGCACTGGAGAGGAATATAAGGCGGGATGAGACAGGAACGTGTTCTCTTTTCAGTCTGCAGATTTTGTAGTATTTGTTAGATCATAAACAAAATGTCACTATACATCTCCAGTCTTTATCTGTTCACAAAGAAGTAGCTTTCTTTGGATGTTATTTTCTTTGATGTTATTGTTAAATAATATATTAATTATATGTAATTATATACAGATAGATGATAGATACATCAAGAGATAGGGAGAGATAGGAGAGATAGATAGGATAGGATAAGAGATAGATAGATGATAGATAGATAGATAGATAGATAGATAGATAGATAGATAGATTGAATTGATCTTCTGGTTTCTTAAAATCTATTGTGGCCAAAGGAGGATTTAGATAGGTGGATATGGGTGAGAATCAAGGGTTCCATTTCGCATGTGCCTAACAGGTCCACAAATGAAAGTGAAGCTGTGAGCTTCTGCCCCCAGGACTATGGCCTAACACAGTGGTTCTCAATCTTCCTAACGCTGCGACTCTTTAAGACAGTTCATCATGTTGTGGTGACTCCCAGCCATACTTTTGCCACATTATGTAAATATGTTATTTAAATCATAGTGCAAATAGCCAATATTTGACCCCAGAGGGGTCATGACCCACAGGTTGAGAACCACTGGCCTAGTAGAAAGCCATATAGAACATAGGTAACCATCAAAAAAGGCCAAATGCCAAGTTCTGTAGGGAGGCACAGATAGATGTTAGGGACATTTGGAGGGGACGCTATGTAGAAAGCTTCATGGAGAAGGAGACAGTTGAAAGAGGAGTGAAAAGATGGTCGTGGGTGAAAAGAAAAATGCCACCAGCAAAGCTTTAGGCTCTGGGAGCAGTGTGTGTGCTGGGGTCTGCAGTTGACTGCTAGGGGGAAGGTGGAAAGGGAACTTGTGGCTGATAGGCTGGTGGCCTTGACTTGAGGAAGGGCTTGGTGGTCACTGGGAAGCGGTGGCTGAGTCCCGTGGAGGCTCACCTCCTCGGCCTTAATGATCTGTGTGTCTCTTGGTTAGCCAGCAGGGGGAATTAATAGAGAGAATTGGTTCGTGTTAAAACTGGGAGATTAGGCACTGGAAAAATGGTTCATTAGTTGAGAGTGTTGACTGCTCTTCCGGAGGACCTGGGTTCGATTCCTAGCACCCACATGGCAACTCACAATTATCTCAACTCTATTCTAGGGGATTCGACACCCTCTT